CGAACAGAAATCACGGCGGGAGGTTGCTGGCCGTTCTCGGCCTCCAGGGGCCCTTGCCGGGCCCCAGGGCCGTCAGATACAGCGCCCCGCCTGGGAAAACCGGCGCCCGTGGAAAAGGGGTCGGGGCTTCCAAGGAGTAAGAGAGAGGAGGAGAAGGAGGAGGAGGAGGACGAACGAGAGGAGGAGGTGACGAAGGAGGAGGAGGAGGAGAAGTAGGAGGTGAGGAGAGGAGAATGAGGAAGTAGGGGGAGGAGGCAGGGAAGGAGGGGGAGGAGGAGGATGAGGAGGAATGAAGGAGGAGGAGGAGGGGGATGAGGAGAGGAGGACAGCTAGGTGCGCTCGCGTCGTGTCTGACATCCTATCCCTCCCTCCCATCCCTTACCATGGCGTAGATCCTCTCTCTACTCGCACAGTCGGATGTCGAGCAGGGCAATGATCCCGAAAGGGTACGCGATGCATTGTGGAGCACGGCATGGCATGGCGTAGAAGAGCACCGCAAAGCGTAGTATCAACCTAGCATTGCATTGCATGCCGTGGCATGGCACAGGAAATGACGCCAGCACTGCAGCGGGAGCACGAGTCGGAACGAGCGGAAGCGCGGAAATGAGGCCAGCGCTGCAGCGGGAGCACGATTCGGAACGAGCGGGAGCACGGACATGAGGCCAGCGCTGCAGCGGGAGCACGATTCGGAACGAGCGGGGCCCGAAAATGAGGCCGGCGCCTCAGCGAGAGCAGCACTTTGGAAACAAATGCAGGCGAAAACCCAACTCCAGGGAATCCTGTGTGTAAAAAACAGTACGCGAGGGGGGGCTAACATTTTCAAGCCGTCATCAGGGGAAGAGAGAGAGAGAGAGAGAGAGAGAGAGAGAGAGAGTAGTATTCATACTTAGTAATTGTGGAGGGTGACGGGGGGGGGGCGGGGCGAGGGGATGGGGGGAGGAGGAGGTGAGGGGGAGGGGGAGGGCTGAGGGGCGAGGGGCGAGGTGCAGGGGCGTGGGGAAGGGAGGGGGCGCGTATTGGGATGGAGGGGGAGGGGGAGGGGCGGAGGAGGGGTGGAATGCAAGCTAGGTGCGCTCGCGTCGTATCTGACATCCTATCCCTCCCTCCCATCCCTTACCATGGCGCAGATCCCCTCTCTACTCGCTCAGTCGGATGTCGAGCAGGGCAATGATGGGTACGCGATGCATTGTAAAGCACGGCATGGCATGGCGTAGAAGAGCACCGCAAAGCGTAGTATCAACCTAGCATTGCAGTGCATGCCGTGGCATGGCACGGGAAATGACGTCAGCGCTGCAGCGGGAGCAGGAGTCGGAACGAGCGGAAGCGCGGAAATGAGGCCAGCGCTGCAGCGGGAGCACGATTCGGAACGAGCAGAAGCACGGAAATAAGGCCAGCGCTGCAGCGGGAGCACGATTCGGAACGAGCGGGGCCCGAAAATGAGGCCGGCGCCTCAGCAAGAGCAGCATTTTGAAAAATAATGCAGGCGAAAACCCAACTCCGGGGAAACCTGTGTGTAAAAAACAGTACGCGGGGGGGGTCGGACACTCCCAGGCCGTCATCAGGGGAAGAGGGAGAGTAGTATTTATATTGAGTAATTGTGGAGGGGAAGGGGGAGGGGAAAGGGGGAGGGGGAGGGGGAGGGGGGGGGGAGGGGCAGGGGGAGGGGGGCGGGGGGAAAGGGGAGGGAGGAGAGGAATGGGAGGGGATGGTGGAGGGGGAGGGGGATGGGGGGATGGGGAGGGGTGGGGGAGGGGGAAGGGGAGGGGGAGGGGTGCGGTGGGTGCGGTGCGGTGCTGCGGTGCGTGCGGTGGTGCGGTGCGGTGCGGTGGGTGCGGGGCGGGGCGGGGCTGGGGCGGGGAGGAGAGGAAGAGGAAGGAGGAGGAGGAGGAGGAGGAGGAGGAGGAGGAGCGAGGAGGAGGTGGAGGAGGAGGATGAGGAGGAGGAGGAGGAGGAGGAGGAAGGAGGAGAGGGGGAGGGGGAGGGGGAAGGGGAGGGGGAGGGGAAGGGGCGGGGAGGGTGAGGGGGAGGATGGTGGCGGAGGAGGAGGGCGGAGACAGGGCGGAGGACAGGGCGGGGGGCGGAGGCGGGCGGAGAGGAGGGAGGAGGAGGAGGGAGGAGGAGGAGGAGGGAGGAGGGAGGAGGAGGAGGGAGGATGGAGGAGGGAGGAGGGAGGAAGAGGAGGGAGGAGGGAGGAAAAGGGAGGGAGGAGGGAGGAGGGGAGGAAAAAGGAGGGAGGAAGGAGGGGGAGGAGGGAGGAGGGAGGAGGGAGGAAGGGAGGAGGAGGGAGGAGGAAGGAGGGCGGAGGGAGGAGGGACGAGAGGGGAGGGAGGAGAGAGGATGGAATAGTGAGGAGCTTTCTGCGTGGACCCCCCACTTGTCAAAGATGCCGTTCGTTGAAATGTTTTAGCCGCGATGCGAGGCGGGCGATCGCGCCTGCCTGTCGGATTTGTGGGAGCCTTGATGTCGCTAGCAAAGGATGGTCCTGGATCAAGACTGCGGCCTCGCGACCGTTTGGCTGTACTCCAGACTGGCGGCGCCCTCAGGGGGGTGGTGCTAGGGGCTCGTGCTTCCAAGAAGGCGGCCGAGCTTCAAGAAGGCAGGGGGGCCGCTTAGAAGCAAGCGAATCGAGGAAGAACGAGCTGCGCAAAAACCAAGAGCTGCCCGCGGTCTGGCGGACGTCTCGGATCGCCGCCGGGCCCCTCCCGCCGGCGCCTCTGGCGCCGCCCCCGGCGCGCTCTCCAGGCGCCAGGGGAGGGGGGCCCCGCGTCGATCCAGAACGGCCGGGCGAACCTCCAGCAGTTCATGTTTGTTTTTTAGGTCGGGCGTGTCCATCTGCAGGAACGGAACGGAAGGGAACGGAAAGCCTGTTGCGGGCATGCGCCCGGGCCCCTTGAGGGCGAGGCGGGTGAGGCCATGGCCTCGCATGAGAAGCTGCGCGCGTCGGGGGTCTACTCAGGACAATGCGTACTTCAGGAGCTGATTTCCCGACAGTCCCCACTCATCCGTTTTCTCATGATGTAGCCACGACGTCTCGTTGAAATCGTAGTGCTTGTGGTGTGAGACTGTCGGAGAAACCCGTGGGTTTCATCGTCCTTTCTGTGATCTCGAACTCATAGCAAAACACGTTCGAATTGAACTCCTCGGACCTCCAATCCACTGCACATGGGTGTGGGAGCACTGGTGTTCTCATGAACTCTGTGTCACATCCTTTAGGTACCACTTAAGGAACAGATCACCACGTGCAATCGAAGGCCCATACGCGCTCTGTGACACACCCAAGAGATCAGCTAGAGGTCGATTGGTGGTGGAAGTGGGAAGTCAGATGTGAGAGGTTGGAGGTCTGAATGTTGTGCTGGTGGAGGGTGGTGGTTGATTGGTGGAGGTGGAAGTCGAGAGTCGGATGCTGGAGGTTGGAGGTTGAAATGCTGAGTTGATGGACGCCGAAGTCGATAGACAGAGTTGGCAGTGGAGAGTTGGATGCTAGAGAATGGAGCTCGTAGTGTTGAGTTAATGGACGCTGGAGGTCGATTGATGGAGGTGGGAGTGGAACGTCGGATGCGCGAGGTTGGTAGTCGGAGTACTGGGCTTGTTGATGAGGCTTGTGCTTCCAGCCCTGAGGATGTTTTATTTTGGACTAGATTGCTTTTTGATCACCCTGCATCATCATGGCCGGCGCCGTCTTCGGAAATCTCACTTGATTTTCAGGATCTTGACGGCGCCCCTCTTGCGCCGGAGGCCCTGGGGGACCTGCAGGAATGTGATGTGGTTGTAGACGGCTCTTGCTCTAGACATCAAATTCGGGACCTTTTTCGAGCGTCTTACGCGGGCGTGTGTTTAGGGGAAGGCCTCGCAATCCGAGCCATATTTCAAGGCGTTGTCTGGGGTAGTCTTCCACTGACCCCTCAAGCAGGTGAACAGGTAGGACTGGCCATGCTGAGTTGCTTGGCTCGTAGTCCCTGGCGGCCCCGCTCTGATTGCCTAGGCGCTGTCAGGCTTCAAGGTTCGGACCTAGTCAGCCAGCTTTCACATAGACATGTGTATGCTGGCGCTCGCCGCGCCGCCAGCAGCAGGGTGGTAATAAATTCGTATTGCCTGCTCGGCATGCCCTAGCCCACCGAAGCCTCGAAGTTATTGAAGCCTTGCCGATGCATGAAAAGAGGATTGATCTGGGTAATGATGCCGCGGGCCGCCTAGCCAAGCATGCATTGCTCAAGCATCCTCAGCCCTCCGCGGATGAGGTCGCGAAGGTCGATTTGGTTTTGGTTAAGTGCATGGCGATTGCGAGGGTCATCGCAGCTACATTGCCGCTCTTCCCCAAAGTGGAAATGAAGCGGACTCCCCGCGCATCCAGGCCCAGACGATATGCTTCTTTGGACAGGTGGCACGATTGGGTTGTTGTGGAGGAGGGGGTTCTGCAATGCACGCGTTGCCTTACGGTCGACTTTGATGGTGAACCATCTATGTTGGGATGCAAGGGCCTCCCAACGTGCTACAATAAGTTAGCTGGGGCAGAGAGCCGATATGGGCACCGCCTTTCGGTGGCCATGACCGATCAGTACAGGCCTCTTGTCTTCTGCTTGCGCTGCGGGCCATACACCCAGAAGAGGTGCAAGAACCTGCACAAGCCCTGTCCTCCCGCAGCCAGCCATAACGGCCAGCGCGCTCTGCAGCGAATCCGTCAGGAATTGGATCCCCGCTACGTGTCGCGTGGCATTGTAGGGCCAGCTCGACGTTGCGATGCTTCGGCCGTTGTTTCTTTAGCTGCTTCGGCCGCTTCCAGTGGCTCTCCTGTGCCGCTCCGCCCACTCATCACCAATGACAGGCTGGGGGCCTTGCGTGCTCGGGTGGCCGCTCGGGAGCAGGCCAACTCAGAAAGTCATGCCGGACAGGCCGCGTGATATATTTGTTGCTAACGTTGCGTTACGTTCTGCCTCAAGGGCCTGTTTGGAGAAAACAAATCATTGGACCCCGGCCGCGATTCATGCGACCCAGGGTGCTTG